ATATTCGCGTCAAGCAGGAATGTCACCACTACTGCGATCTGCCACGTGTGCCAATGGCATCTCATTTCATTTGTACAAATATAACCATCAATCTTGCATCATCCTGATCGGCCAAGGGAGACTCAAGTTCTTATCTCTAATTTTTTTGTTTTAATCTGTTTGATGAAGCAATTTCGAAGGGGACTCACGATTCTTCCTATACTGGCGTGGACCTTTCTGACTTGTTCGTCGTGCTGACCTTTTTGGTACCTTGCCTTCTCCCTAATTAGTTGCTGAGATTGGCCTAGTTGTAAGAGTTATTCGAATTGCAATATAGTTATCACAAGAATCGTCTGTTCAATCTTCTTACACACCAGCCAATAAGGACGGAAGCCAAAGAATTTGCTGTCAGGATGTGACGATGGCTGATTAATTTGCTAGAATTCTCCAGTATTCCGTTTTTGTGATCTTTTCAGTACTTTATCTGAACTATTCAATGCTGCTCTACATACAGAGGTAAAATTGTACCAAAGGGCCTTTGCGAATTTGCTTTTACAGCTCAATAATCTGTATTTATTATGCTAAAAAGCCCTGGTTTTCTTTTACTTCATTCATTTAGGCAGCTAGGAAATTTGCATCAGAATCTGAGTCACCCTAGATCGCCTGAGGTGGTGTAATGACTTGCTTTGATCTGACTCTTAGACTTAAGCTACAGAGAAATTGACCTAAGACCGATTTGCAAGATAGATAGAAGACGAGAGGATACAGTTTCTACGAGCGAGAGAGAGCAGTCCTACTTTTGCGGAGATCCAGTCTACCTTGCCTTGGTACAGGTATAGATGGTAGACTCAGAGGTGCGGCTTAGGGAGGGGCGCATGACGACTGTAATATCAAGGAAGGGCTGGTCGGGCAAGCCGGACCGACGAAAAAATATACACAATAAATATAACTTTAAATAATAAATAATAAATAATGATATAACATAAGTATCTACAAAAATAAACATGAGTTTCTAATGATGACCTTTCACATTTAGATCATCACTCTTATCACATCTTACACGAATCCTTCAGATCCAGAAAACAGTACATCTCTGATTTTAGCTTAACCTCCATTTGGAGCATATTTTCAGCGTCGCCAAGACGACACATCTTTTATTGCAATCACATTTATTAAACCCTTATTATTAGCTTTTCAGCGGGAATGACATTGCAGGCACTGCTCACTGCTTATCTTCTGGTCTTTCATGATTTGGGTTCGAGCTCCACTTAGTATACGGAAAAGGCCTATTCTTGATAAAAGTCGAGTTCCATTCACACTGGGAACCCTATTGGGCAATAAGATCGAGCCGAATTCATCTAATTATATAAAGGCTTCTCTTCAATCTGTCATGTAATTCCGTTATATCACTGATTGCATAAGAAAACCAGGAATATCCCCTACGATATTTGTATCTTCTATTTTTCCAATATCTTTATTTGTAAACACGTTGGGAGAGAGCTTATATATTTTTTTTGCCATTTTTAGTACATCATCGCCACAAATAGAGCCAGTCATCATTGTTTTCGGGATTCTACTTTAGTACAGCATAACAAAAGGGATCTCGTAGGTTCAATAGGCCTCTTGTGCTCCGATACTTCTTCAAACTCGTGATAAACACCGCATCACCAACGTGACCAGAATTGATTGTAAGGCACAAGTAAAAGCCGATTCTCTTGGATACTCGGGTCTGTACCGGCCTGTGTGAATAAGTGGGCAGTTCCAACCCTTTGGCGACATCAAATGCCTGTCTTTCTTATGGATATTTCAGTCACTCGCTACCGTATCGTGGGAGTTAGTTCATCGGAGCTTTATTGTATTACATTAAAGTGGACTAAGCTAATCGCCTCCACTCCATGCAATTATATACCTTCAAAATGTAATCTAGCTGAAATGATTGCGTATCTGCTTCTCAAATGCCCCACTTTATGAAGCTAAGTTTATTATGCACAGCTTTTTTATATCTATTGTATGAGAAAACTTTATACAGTAGCCCAAGAATATAGTTTTTCAGCCAGTTTACTTGTTTATTTGTGTGAACATCTGATCAACATTATTTGTGCCACATTTTGGATCTTGTAGCTCATGTTTGCTAAACTTAACCGTGTTAATTCCAAGGCCCTCATAGTTTATGAAGCCGGGTCTTCTTTCAATTGTTGTGCACATTTCTTCTTGACACAATTGCTTTGGGGTTTGTTATCTTTTGATGCAGACATCGACTGGGCTGCTTCCTCTTTCGGTGTGTTTACGGCTGACGGGCATGTGCGAGGCCAGTGTGTGTTGCCAGACGAGTGGAACAACCCGTTGCAGTTGATGATCCTTGATCTGGACGCCAATAAAGGTGAGAACTGTCAATTATTTTGTCCAGTCCTCCCTCAAATGTCAGACTCTGCAACCTATCCATTGAAAGACTAGATCCCACTTTTGTGTCGGCTGGTCACATTAATGATGCAAATGAAGCTATTCAATCGGGATGGGTTAACCACACCTTTCTCAGCACAATTTGTGATTAATACATTGAGTACTATCACTACGCTACCATTAATGTGTAGCAGACTGCTTATCTGGACATCAGTGCCTAGGAAATAGACCTACTATTTTGGCCTCTTATGTACACATCTTAAAGGACTCCAGAAAAAAAGAGGCTAACAATCAACATTGTTTAGATAGCCGATCAGACAGGTTAGTAGCCAAAGTAAATTCGACACGAGGACATACACAATCACAAATGGAAACAGTTCTGTTCCAATAGGAGAAGGTATGTAGGACGAACTCATGCCAAATAATCATGGCTTAAAATTCTTTTCATTATATGTAATACTTTACCTTTAGTCTAAATAGCATTGAGGTATTTTCATTCTATTTCGTTTAGAGTAATGGAGTAGACCTTACGATTCCATTGAAGCTGACATAGTCTTTCTTCCCATAAGGTATTCTCTCCTTTTGGAAATTCATATACAAATCCTTCATCCCCTTTAATGAAATAGGGTAAACACATATCATATATCTGATTTATTGGTAGTCTCAAAAGCCTACTTACCAACGACAAATAGATATTGTTGGTTCGACCTCGTTTTCGTAACTTGTTCAGAGCAACAGGGTGACCTTGTGTAACCTACCTAGTCCTGCGTCCTCTTTCATAAAGTTCATGAACATGTCTAGCATCGGACCACTAACTTAGTACATTCTCAGACGTTTTTCCGGCATCTTCAATGAGATGCGCCATCCTAAGCACACCTACAACTCGTCACCTTGATAAGCGGTAATCTTCGATCTGAGGATGGCGCCTCTTACATACGATTCGCCGACTATGTGAATGCACCAAATCAACGGTCTCGAAAATCTACTCACTAACGAGAAACTGGCGGAGGATGCAGGACTAGGTACCTTCCACAGGGTCTCTGTCGATCCGACCAAGGTGCGAAGGCTATGTGACACCAACACTATAGAGTTTAAGGTGATTGCGATCAAGCAAAAGACCACATCATCT